CGTCCATCATAATGCAATTTATATGGAGGCAAATTTAACTTTTCTCAACCATTCTTCGTCATGTGGGACAGAATTATGGGAACATATATGCCTTATTCACTTGAGAAGAGATACGAAGGAGGCTTTGAAGCTAGGCCTATTAAAAGAGCAAAAGAATGATGGATCCTTTGTTTATTTTTCTTTTTTTTCAGTCGAAATTATAGTATGTGATTTGCACATAATTTATATGTTTCTTTTGATTTTTCAAAAAAGTTGGAAAAATAAATTTAGATTGTGAATCTGCCTTCAATTTGTAGGAGTAAAAATATAATAAGAAAAGCACAAAAGGTAATTCCCTTTACACTCAAACCAGTCTTAACTTTCTCAAGGATGTTTCAGAGATACAGGAGTTAAAGGGTGTATATATAAGAGATATGAATGTAGGCCTTCATTACTAGTTTTTTAGTTGTTTGAGCTGATCCTGCTCAAGTTCATGATATTAGAAGAAAAAGATTTACAATTTACATGGGTAGAAATATATAGGGTTAAAGAAGTGCATAAATTAAGATCATTTATGCAGTTTATGTGTATGACATGTCTATATCTTGAATTGTCTAATGCATGTTTGTTATAGTTATTTCAAAAAAAAAAAAAGAAGAAAAGAAAAGAAAAGGTCAGAAAGGCAAATATTTTACCCGAGATATGGTTCTAGAACAGGACTTCAAAACAAATGAAAATGTTAATGGAGGTTAAAAATTGATGGTGTCAAACTGAATTTACGATGCTATCGTAATTGGGTTGTTCTTGAGAACCTGTTCTTCTTCTTCTTTTTATTTTATTTTTATTTTATTTTATTTTTTCTAATGTGAATGGTAAATAAAGAATACTACTTAATAAAGAAAGAATAAAAGTGTTCTCATCCAAACCAAAAGGGAAAGAATAAAAGAGTTGATGGCAATCATCCATAAGCCACCACCCATATCGGAATTGTAATTTATTTTTCATATTGGCTTTCAAATTCAACCTTGTCAAACTGAATTATTTGTATTATTACTAGTATAAATTTAATGAGAAAAAAATTAAGAAAATGCTGCATTTTCTGTGGCTTTTTTGACCCATTGTGGTCAGGGAGGCTCAAAATTTCAATGAGCTTCATTGATTTCAGATTCTTTTTAGAATTTGATTGATTTCCTGATAATATCAGATAGATTGTTGGATATGGATCAATGTTTCGTGATATTTAAGAAAATGAATGCCAACAATATCATTGAATAAAAAAATCTTTAATCTATTAGAGGGAATTGTAATTTCATAGAAGCTTAACAATCATGAGAAATCATTCCATCTGCATTATATAAGTTTGCTTCATGGCGAAGATAATGAGTTTGACAAATTCAATTCTTTGAATACACGCTTATGACATGTTTTGTAATGCTTGTCATTTTCGTAAGCAAAATTCATGTTACACGTTTCTTTGTCATTCTCATTGGTGAAGTTCGTAACACAAGGGTTTCTTAACACGATAAGTTTATTATTATAATTACATGTGAAGCTTATATCACGTGATAGAGTTTAATTTTAAATAATAATAAAAAATTCTATATCATAATTATTTTGTTTATAGCACTTTATTATTTTGTTTAAACAAGTTTTTATATTTTTATTATACCAAAATAAACTTTTATTTTTTTAATTTGTATCTAAGTATGCTCGTATTTAATTAAAAAAATTAATTTATGTTAAACAATTATTTAGATACAAATTAAAAGACAAGGGTTTATTTATATATAAATTAAAATTTAAGAGTTTATTTGAATACAAAATAAATATTAAGGATTTATATAGATATAATAAAAATATAAAATATATCTAAATAAAATAATAAAATTAAAAAAAAATTTATTATTATAGTAAAATATAAAACTTTACACCTTCCTTTACAACCATAATTTCACGAATTTCCTTTTTTATATAAAATGGAAAATGGAACTGATTGCTTTTGATTATTATTCCAAAACACTTGACTTCTCAATGCCAAGTGGTACTAGGTTTTATGCGAAACATGACGAAACCCACGAAAAATAATTATTAAAAATTATATTTGATTGATATTATATTATTCCTTTTTAATAACAAATTAATAATTAAAAATAATAGATAAAGAGTAACAAATTTATATCATGTTTGGTCCCCTTGTTCAACAACACAACTTTTTTTCTAGATCACTGAATGTCTATTCAGTGGAATAGCCATCCAGCGATTATTCCTCAAAAACAACGAATAGTCATTCGAGGGAAAATCTCAGGATGTCTATGCTGTGTGCTTCAAGATGTCAATCCTTTTTTTTTTTTTAATCATTTGGCCCTTACAATTTTAACGTAATATCAATCTTAAGGATAGAGAAAGCTTGCCGCCACCATTGGTCCGTCTTAGAAACTTCGTCAGAGATAAAATAATAATAATAATAATGGCGATTCAATACCAAATTTCATCTTAGTGCCGGACTGTTAACGCCGTCCCCAGGCGTGATTGTGATTTATGGTAAAAAGGCAACATCATGTTGTGAGAGAGAAGCTAGATTTGCACCTTAAGTGTCGGAATTTGGCCCTAAATGCTATAATTGATAATTTTATTTATAATTTTTAAAGTATTGAAAAAAATATTAATTTATATAGTAACTTTAAAAATTATCTTTAAAATATTCTTTATCAGAATCTTAAATTAAAATAATGAATTTTATTATCATTATTATTAACCTAGTAATAACGGGTTTATAGGGAACAAATATGCATGCAGTGTCACTCATCCCCTCAAGGTTATCAATTTAATCGTAATTTATTATATAGAAGAGGTTGTAAATTTGAAAATAAAGTAAGAGATTTGAGAGTGTTGAGGTTTAAATTTTATATATATTAAATATTATTTTTAAAAGTGATTATGTAAATGAATTAAGTTAATTTCTTAATTCTAATTTATTTCACTTCATGTGGCTACATAAGTGGAAGAAACAATTGAGACAACAACTCAATTTGGTTTGTTGGTTTTTTTTGTTTTTTGTGTTTTGGTTTTCACAAGCAAGACAGCGTGTTTGGATAAAAATGCAAACAATATATATTTTTTAAAATTATAGATAAAACCTGTAATTCTTTTAGATATATAACAAAAATGCATAATTATATTTTTATATTTATGTAAATAAATTTATTTTATAATTAATGTTATATTTAAATTATTTATTTGTATTTTTTAATTATCAAAGAGGATTCAAACCTTATACTTGAGTAAAGATTATGAACCAAACATTGAATTAAATGTTTAAGTAAATTTATTTGTATTTAATTAATTATGATTTTGCTTTGCTTAAAGATTTATTTAGATGAGCTCTAAGTTGAATTAGTTTTGATAATATTTAAAATAGAGATAGAGGTGATATTAATTATCATAAGGTTAAATTAAAAAATCAATGATGGAATATGTATTTTGATACAAAAAAGTAATGAATAGTATGGTGATTATATAATCATAATTTATTTTTTATTATTTCATAATTATTAAATAAAAATTATAAAAAATAAAAAGTTAAGTTGTAAGGACATTTTTGTCTCAACAAATTAACTTAAGGGACAAAAATAAAAATAAAATAAAGAGCAACGATAAAGTCCACTAGAGGTGTAATGGCCATCGACTGGACGGGGTCTATCGCACCTGAGACCTGTTTGGATTTCAATTAGGCGGTTGGCATAGAAATGAAAAACAACTGACCTTCCATCAGAGGTCCAACTGCATCCAAACGGAGCCTAAGACATTCTAAAAAGCAAAATACAAAAATATCAATTAATTGTATAATATGGTTGTAAATTTCCTTTGAGTATTGGTGGAAACATTCAATATATTTCAAATTTGGTCAAACATGATACATTAATGAAAATCTTTTGTATCAATTTTAATTTCAATTAATTTCAAATGTCTCATATAATTTTGATCTATTTCAATGAATCAATTGATTTTCCTTATTTCTAGTTTTTCTTTTAATTTTTTGTAATTAAGTGACGACAAAAAAGAAACAAAGAAAGAAAAAAAAAAAGAATGGAGAGTAAGAAAGATATGCAAGGAAGTACCCAAAAAAAAAAAAAAAAGGGAAGACGAGGGATGGGGCCGGGAAGATGAGATACAGGGTAGAAACTGAGAGTGAGAATAAGGAAAGAACGTAGAAATAGTTCACGTGGAGGTGAGATTGAGTTTTGCAATTTTTAATAATTAATTATTTAAAGGTTAAAAAATTATTTAAAAATAATATAAAATTAAAAAATGAATAATAGTTTAAATAGAATTAATTAAATGAAATAAAACATATTATATAAAATATAAAAAATTTAAAGGTGTATTTAAATAAATTAATTAATAATTAATTAATATAATTAATAAAAACTATTCTTATAGATAAAATATTAACCAATTTTGACAATATCCTCAAAACATTCATTGACAAAATCCGTTAATGAACCTAGAAGTGGCCATAGCAAAACCCTATTAAAAAAATAATAATACAATGACAACAGGAAATTGGACACATCACCCCAAGTGGGTAAACAGCTGACAAAGACAAATGGATGGTCAAATTAATGGATCATACTTGATCAACCCCGACCTACCCTAGTCAGTTACGCAGGAACCTACCCCAGTAATTGGTGTAGGCAGCAGGAATTCGCTTTTACTCGTTTTTATCATGCCAATTTATTTAAAAATATTGCTCCCAAAGCCGCATTTATTTCATTTCGTAGGAAACTAATTAAGGAAGGATGAAGTGTAGAGCCCGCAACATGATAATGTTTTAGACCGAATTTTTATATAATAATAAGAACTAACAGATAGGTTTCATGCACCAATTTTCCACAGCTTTCTTTTTATATATTAATAACAGAAGCCGCATTGATATTATAGGTGATATCTGTCGCTATAAGATGATGACAGTTCCAAGAATTTTCATGCCCGTTTTCCTTGGTGTTCTCCTACACATTGAGTAGTAGAGAAGATGGCTTTGGCAATATCGGATGAGTTGCTGGGAACTTTTGTTCCGATCGTTGTTTATTGGATTTATTCGGGTATGTACGTGGCTTTTGGGTCGTTCGAGAATTATAGATTGCATTCAAAGAAAGAGGAGGAAAAGAAGAATTTGGTGTCCAAATGGGAAGTCATCAAAAATGTTCTTTTGCAACAAACCATTCAGGCTTTTCTGGCCATCATTTTGTATAAGGTACGAGCTAGACACTAATTCATTTATCTCTTTTTTTAAATAGTAATTAATTATAACATTGGTTGTTGTTTTGTTTCATAATTCTGGTTTAAAACTTGGTAGATGGAGATCAATATACTGTTTAGGATTCGCTTGCATGAATTTTTATGGCCTGTTTCTCAAGCTATATGTATAGGAGGATCAACTTACACTTAAAACTTTTTTAATTTTATATTTTTTTAATTATTTATTTTAATAAATTTAAGGAATAAGATTAAATTATTTTTTTATTTTTATTTGTTTCTCTCATATTTTAGATCTATTAAAATTAAGAATTAAAAAAATGTATAAAACTAAAAAATTTTATATTATATAAGTTAATCCCTTCTCTCATATATATATATATATATATATATGAAAATGATAGGGGTGCAAATTGCTGACAATCTGTTTTTGAAAATAGTTTGTAGCCAAATTTGGCTATGCTCGAATTTGTTTGCAAAACAAGTCAAAGAAAGAGGCATGTTAAGGCGCGTTTAGCTGATTAATGAATGAATAGCTCTCATGCAAATGAGCCAAATACGTATTAGTGCAAACCTATATATATATATATATATATAATATGGCAGTTATTAAAAAATATATATTAGTATTGTTGTTGTCTTATGAATGATATTTTTTTTATTCATTAGTTGAGTTTAATTTAAAGTTATTGTCAAGAACAGCTCCAACTCAAAACTTGATGAGTTTATCATGGCTTGACATGACCTAAGTCAATTAAATTGCTAAAAGAATTTCACTTGAGACTTTTCAAACTTGAACCCAATTACTCTTGTACACAAGGGGAAAGATTAATTATTTGGAATTAAAAAAAGGGAATTTTTGGTATGAGCTCATATAAACTAACTTGTTACGTGCCTTAGGGTTGAGCTAACGTCAAATGTTCTCAAGAGCAACGACACATTTACATGTGTTCAAAGGTCGGGTCTTGGGTAAAAGTTTTTAGTTTTAGATTTATTCATATCCGAACTATTATTTTATTAATAAAAATATTTTTATTTGATTTTAATTTTAAAATATATTTAAAATATTAAAATATTATTTAAAAAAAAATTCGAGTCTCCAAATCATACGTGGGGAAGCGATTTTGAATGAACGGTCAGGCTTATCTCGACTTAGCCCAAGAATGCTTCTAAACACACTTCACTTTTTTTTTTTTTAATCTCTTATAAATTTCCTTTCTTCACTATAGAATTTATGAGATTTTTTTCTCCATTGGTTTGAACAAAATATCACGTTCTTGGGAGTTAATGCATCTTTGTATTTTAGTATTTAGTAGTTAATGCATGATTTTTATTTTTTGTGCAGGTGATAGGAAACGATGCTGCGGCTTCCCAAAGTCAATCATCTTCCCCTTTTATTATTGCAAGACAATTTGTTATAGCAATGTTAGTTTTGGATACTTGGCAGTATTTTATGCATAGATATTTCCACCACAACAAGTTCTTATACCGACGCTTTCATTCTCATCACCACAAGCTTGTTGTTCCCTACGCATTTGGAGCTATCTACAATCACCCATTGGAGGCTTTTGTCTTTGACATAATTGGTGGAACCTTATCCTATATCCTCTCTGGCATGTCTCCTCGAACTTCAATATTTTTCTTCTCTTTTGCCACCATTAAATCAGTTGATGACCATTGCGGGTTATGGCTTCCTGGAAACTTCTTCCACTTTTTCTTTAATAACAATTCGGCATACCACGACGTCCATCATAATTTATATGGAGGCAAATATAACTTTTCTCAACCATTCTTCGTTATGTGGGATAGAATTATGGGAACTTATATGCCTTATTCACTTGAGAAGAGAGACGAAGGAGGCTTTCAAGCTAGGCCTATTAAAAGAGGAAAAGAATGATGGATCCTTTGTTTATTTTTCTTTTCTTTTTTTTTTTTCCTTTGAAATTATAGTGTATGATTTGCACATAATTATATGTTTCTTTTGATTTTCCAAAAAAGTTGGAAAAATAAATTTAGATTGCGAATCTGCCTACAATTTGTGAGTGTAAAAATTTACACCATCTAAAAATTACTATGTATTTGAGAATTTAGTATCAAGGAATGGATGTAATTTTTTAAATCATAATATGTATTCATTTACATAATAGAAGTGTGCCAAAAAAACAATTTTTAAATAATATAGATTGTAAATTTATATAAGGAAATGTTATACACATAAGAAATATACATATATGAAATACATATATAAGTGTTTTTTTGTCACATCAATTTTCAATAATGTTAAGTGATATATATATATATATATATATATCAACATTTACATACATATGTGTATATTTTTTCATGCTTAGAAAATTTTCTTTTTCTGGATCATATATCAAATTAGAATCTTGTGAATGGAAAATTTGCATCATGTGATATTTCCTATGTGAAAAAGGGTAAAGCTAGCTTTCTATGAATATTTATGCACGTAGATAAGAGTGAATGGTTAGAATTGTCTTTTGGTCGAATAGCCATTAATGAATGGAACAATTATTAGCTGATTTCAAAGGTTCCCACAACCAGCTACCGATAACATAGATAATATATATTTTCTCCTTTGAATTGTTCTTTGCTTTAGCTTTAGTATGTCTGCTTTTTCATTTATTCTCCACTTGGAGGATTTCAAGTTCTTCATCAACTGTGGATTATTATTCATAAATTTTTATATTGTTCGCTTCCTTTTTGGATACATTAAATTTATTAATTATAGAACTCTGATTGAAGAATAGTTTGAAAAAAAATCTAGGCCACACCTTTTGTTAGCTGCTTGATTGGCCAATCAAACTCTCTTAGTCTCCTGCTTATAATAACAATAGAGGGGCAGGTTCAGGGCAAGTTTAACATTTTTCATGTGTTTTTTGGTCTTGGTTTCCTAAAGTTGTGTAGCTTTGCTATGGCTGCTTTTCAGGTATCAGATGAAATTTTGGCGTCTGTGGTGCCCAATATCGTGTATTGGGTTTATTCATGGATGTACATTGCTTTAGGGTCTTGTGACAATTATAGATTGCATCCCAAGGAGGACGTGGATGAGAAGAATTTGGTGACCAAAGAGGCTGTCATCAAAAACGTCCTTTGGCAACAATTACGCCAGGTCATCGCATACCTCCTTTTGTATAAGGTATGAGTAGCCATGGGTTTCTTTTCCTTTTCTTAAACTTTGTTCATCATATATTATTGGCTTTTACGTCATTTATTATTTTCTTTTGCATATTTGAAGCTGTCATAGATTAAATTCTTATCTTTAAAAATAAAAGTCAAACGTTCTATCAACTTATCAAAAAAAACTGTTGAAATTTTTTTTTAATTGAGATTTGCATTAAGACAATTTATCATGCAGGTGACCAGAAAAGATGACGATTCCATAGGGCAACCATCTTCTTTTATTGTTATAGCTACACAATTTGTCGTAGCTATGGTGGTTTTGGATACTTATCAATATTTTCTTCATAGACTTGTGCACCAAAACAAGTTTTTATATAAACACCTCCACTCCCAGCATCATCGGCTTGTTATTCCTTACACATACGGTGCTATCTATAATCATCCAATCGAAGGATTTTTCTTTGACATAGTTGGTGGGATCTTAGCCTACGTCGTCTCTGGCATGTCCCCTCGAACTGCTATCTTTTTCTACTGTTTTGCCACCATAAAAAACGTGGATGACCATTGCGGGGTGTTGCTTCCTGGGAACCCTATGCAGTTGCTTAAAAACAGTACTGCATTTCATGATTTCCACCATCAACATTGTGGTGGAAAATACAATTTCTCTCAACCATTCTTCGTCTTTTGGGATAAAATTTTGGGAACGTACATGCCTCTTTCACTTGAGAAGAAAGCAGAAGGGGGCTTCGAAGCACGACCAGCTAAAGACAGCAAGGAGTAGTTAATTACTGTCACTACTATATAAATGGCGTGAATAAGTGTGATACTTATGTTACTTTCGCTTGGGGTTTGGTTCTGTTTGAATAAGTTTATGTATTATAGTTTGTGGCTTGTGTTGTGGCCTATGTATTATAGTTGTGGCTAGTGTTGTGGCCTATTTCTTTTCCCATTTTTATGCAACTGTTGTATCCAGCTTATGTAATGGTTATTGAACTAATAAATAAGAGCATGTCTATTTGTTGGGATAAAAGGTTTGCATGTGAGTAAATAATTCCACATTACTAAGAAATTTGAATGAAATGTCCTATATACATGAATGATCTAAAAATTTAATAGCTTAAGTTTTTTGGTTCAAGTGATGTTCAACATGTATGTATATGTTTTTTGGTGTACTCTTATGGGTTCCAAGTGTAACTTATCTCTCTAATAACTGGTATTAGAGCCAATATTATAGGTCCAATCTTAGTGGTGTTACTAGGGAAAGAGATTATTGGCCAGATTAGAGGTTGGCTGTATCCATCAACTCTACGTGCTTGAATGTCGGTATCGGAGTAAGAATGTTCGACATGGACATAGCAAGTGTATGATGGAGTGCAAGGTTAAGGTCGTAATTGAGGCCAAGCTTGAGAGACACTAAGACAACCTAGGCATTAAAGTTGTGTGCTATGATTGAGTCCAAACTTGAGGGGAATTGAGACAATCTAGACCCATACAGAGGCAAGGCTAAATGCTGGGCCTAAGATGCACTAAAACCATCTAAGATATGAGGTTAGTGTTGTTGGGGGGAGATTGTTGGTAGATCGGTTGTGTTTATCAACTTTATGTGCTTGAATGTCAGTATCAAAGTAAGAAGGCTCGACTTGGACATAGGAAGTGTGTGATGGAAGGCAAGGTTAAGGCCATGATTGAGGCCAAGCTTGAGAGATATTGAGACAACCTAGACAGCAAGGTTGTGGATTATGACTGAGTCTAAGCTTGAGAGATATTGAGACAACTAAGACCCACAAAGAGGTAAAGTTGCATGCTATTTGAGCCTAAGGTACATTGAGACTAAATAAGACGAGAGGTTTTGCTTAGTCCAAAAAGGAAGTGTTGATAAGACTTACTCATAAAGGGTGCTCAGATGGGACTTGATCAGAACTTACAAGTGAATAAAAAAATTTATTGAGATAAGATTTACATGTGAGTAAATAATCTTATATCATTAAAAAATTTGAATGAGATATCTTATATATACATGAATAACCTAAAAACATAATAATTTAAGTTTTTAAGTTTAAGTAATGTCTAACATATATATATATATATATATATGTATATATGAGCTTTTTGGTATACTTACTTGAACTCCAAGTGTAACATATCTTTCAACACTATTATCTTCAGAAGAGTGATTCACCGGTTCTTACATTTTCTTTTCTCCATAAAATTTTTTCTTTTTTAGTAACTACTCTTTTCTTATGCTTTTCCTAAGCAAAACCCAAATCTTATTGCTTAATGCATGACACGCCATCTATCCTTCATTTATAGTTCTGCAGTTCTTGGAATTTGATTTTCTTTATAAAGTTAGTTAAAACCCAAATCACCTGATCTTCCAAAATTGATTGCAGTTGCTTCCATAGTTGCTTATTCCACCTTTAAATTTTTTTTTTTTTTTACGAAAGCCAGAGTATTATTATTTAGTAAGAAATGGAACTTGATACAAGAAATATATTCAGGCCCCAATTCATACATCCGGCCACATTACCCATATCAGAACATTTTTAGCAAAGCATATAAAAAGAACAAGTCTAGGTATACAGGGAAACCTTCCAGTCGGCATACATATAGCAATACTTCCCATATAGCATCTAAGACAATTAGGATACATCATTAGATCAATCATTAGCAAAGTTAGAACTCCTCTACCACCAAGCAATAAAGCTTTTCACTCTGTCTACCCCACCTCTTGCTAAAGAATTAGCCAAACCTTTTGCATCACTATAAATTTTTTGGAAACTGGTTTCACACTTCAAAATTAAGTAGTCAATCTGGTTCAGGATGGGCCAAAGCTTCCAGGCTCTAGATTCTGTTTTATATCAGTGCAGTGCCGCCAAGGAATCAAATTCAATAATTAAATGGGAACTAGTATGCCTTCCGAATTAACAAACAACTCCAATGCAACTTTTACAGCCAGGAGTTCAGCAATGTTTGTCTCTGTTTGAGTCTTGGATTGATTGAAGACAATATATTCAAACTTAAGGTGTTAATTTTCATGAAAGAAAATAGAGAAAAAAAATCTTTTAAGTTATTTTCATTTTTAAAATATTTTTACATTTTAGGTTTAGAATTAAAATTTAATTAATATATTATTTATTAATATAAAATTTTTTAGCATGGTTCTAAAAATTCATATCCAATATCCGAGTTGAATCAAGTTACTCTTGCGAGATTGAAGAATAGCCCCATTGGTCATTGGTGAATACCTCTATTTTTAATCATTTTCAAATCAAATTAAAAAATGTAATCAATGGTAAAACTTTATCATTGAAAATAAAATTTATTTATAGATATCTAATTTTGTTCAGATTAATCAAAATCAATCTAAATTGCATCTTAATGTCTTATTTAAACCTATTAAGATATTTTGATCATATTTTTGGTTTAATAAGTATAATTATTATTTTCATTAATTAGTTTAGGAAAAAAAGTAAAAAAAGAAAGCTGAAAACTTTGAAAATTTTGGAACAGCCGAATTCAAAGATTCATGACTGCCGCCTGATTGTCCCCTCTGCCATGCCAAATTTTGCAGCACAATTCAAGGGAGACTTCCCCCAATCGCAGGAAATCTGGGATTTGATCGTAGATTGGTTCTTTAAATTTGAGCCTAAAAATCGTATGGGAAGAGGAAGAGGAGGCTGACTGAAAAAAATAACGTACTACCTACGTTGAATCCAAGCTCCTCTCTGTCAACACCTTAAGCCAAATCACCTCTGCATCCACCATTTCAAGACCAGCCTTGCCAAAAACTCATCACTAGACCCTTCCTCTGCCCAGTATCCTCTCCCATAAGACCCCAACTTCATCAACCTAGCACCAGTCTCATTAGCCCCAGCACCAGCCAAGAATCCCATCCCCATCCGGCAGCCAACTCTTCCATACCATAGTCCCCATTGCATAAACCCATCATCACTAGAACGATCACCCATACACACCCCTCACTAGCCCGATGTCTAAACCACCGTCATCCAAACAAACCCAAAACCTTCCCCAATCTCTAAAACACACCCATTAAAAAAATTAATTTTTTTCAACTTCAAATGAAAACCATAGCCAACCAAGCAATAGAATTTGGTGGATCCGAACAGTGGAAAAATAGATTATGGAAAGGAGATGAACATATTAAATTTTTAGAACGATCTGACGGCAGTGGGTGGTTTTTCGATAATTTCAATTTTTGGATCAAATTTTGGATCTACTATTTTTAAGAGGGTTTTGGGGGATCTGAATAGTGAAAAAGTAGATATAGGAGAAGAGAACAACGTACTAAAATTTTAGATCCATTGGATGGTGGTAAGGTAGTTTTTCGGTGGCCTAAGCTTTCAAACCAAAATTTAGATTTAGGATCCTCTAGACGGTTTTTGGTAAATCCCAATGGTGAAAATCAAGGTGAGTGGAAGACTTAGTAAAATTTTGGTAGTCATCGGAGGTGACCTTAATGGTAGGTTTGAGTTTTTGGGTTTAAGCTTTTCTTAATTTTTAGGAAAAAAGAGAATTGCTTTAGAAAATATAAGCCATTAGATCAAAAGAGGAGGCAGAGAGGAGTGTTTTGGCATTTTTGAAAATTTTTGGTACCGGTGATTGGTGGCCGGTGGTTGCGTCGGTGACAACTCCAACTATTGAAAGTCAGAAGAGAGAAAAAAAATTCTAGGAAAGGGAAGAGAGAAAAAGGAGAGAAAGCAAAAGAAAATGAGAAAATTTGTTGTTTTGGAGCGAATAAAAATGACATCGTTTTGATTATATAAACGTCAAATTTGTCCAGGCTTTTGAGTCAGGCCTCGATTCCAAAATCAAGCCCAAAAATATTATTTTTGTTTTATTTTTATTAAATAATATATATTAATAAAATAATATTAATTTATTAAATAAAAAAATAAAAAAATAAAAAGAACTGGTGGCAGTAGGTGCAATGCATGGCACCACTGCCATCCCTTGTCCACCCTTGTTTATCGAGCACAGTAGCCCCATCACCCCTAAAAAACCACTCCTTTATGCCTCTAGCTAAGCAACTGTTTCACCTACTTTTCCCAGGTAAGCGACCCTATAAAGCACCCATCCAGACGAGACTAGACACAAAAAAAGCCCCCTCAACATCTCATTCACATTCAGAAATCCTATCATCCGTGTCCTTCCCAGTCACAGCCTTTATACATTTTTTTTTTTACACAAAAAAACCAAAAACAAAACCAAAAAGCTTGTCAAAAAGAAAAAAAAAATGCCCTTTCGAAAAGGGAGGAACTTAGTGTTAAGAGCTTCTTGTGAACAAAAAGAAAAAGAAAATGAGTAAAAAAAATCAAAGTTGAAATAAAAAAAATAGAGGATTTGACCGAAACTTTGAAAGTTGATTTAGGTCATTTGAGATATTTTCAGGTGAAATTAAGTTCAGATCTGTGTTCAGGAGATAAAGAAAATTTTTTAAAAGTTTTTAAGATTTTTCGACAATCAGTAACCGACCACTGGCGACTGACGGGGTAGACGACAACCTGCTAATTGTGTTTAGAAAGAGAGTTTGAAAAAAGGAGAGGGTAGAGAGAGAAATAACCTGAAGAAATGAGCTAAAAAAATTGGGCTTTTATAGAAATTGAAAAAAGCTAAAACGATGCCGTTTCGATAAATGATCAAAACGATGTCATTTTAAGCTCTAGAATCTGCGCTCAACCTGTCGACCCGACCTAGGATCCGCGCAAAATATTATAGTGTATTGGAATATTTATAGAAAAATTTCAATATAATAAAAATTTCTTTTTTTTCTTCAAAAATTTAAATTAAAAAAAAGCAATCAAATAAAAAAAATCAATAAATTTTTTTTAAAAAAATAAAATACATGCATCAACATATCAGCATTTTGCATTGCATACATAATAAAGTTTTTGCGAAAAGTAAATTCGAGTATTCGATGATGAGATTCTAAGGTATTTCAAGAAATGATGCCTAAAAAATTTTTAGGTGAGAAGGAGTTCTTCTAATATTACTAACGTATTGAAATATTTTAAGAATTATTTCAATAAAAATGGTTCTAATTTATTTTTTTCAAATAAAATTTGAACAATAAATATGGAACAATAATAAAAGAAAAAAATCAAAATTTCAATAAACAAAGGAAACTAAGGAAATTATTTTTCAAATATTGAAAATAAGACTGTTTTTATTAACATCAATGGATTACACATAATAATTGATACTGTTTTAAACGGGCATTGTGGGGGTGCTAATCCTTCCCCACACGTAATCGACTCCTAAACTCAAACTGTTGCACAGACCTTAAAATTATTCTTTTAATAAATTTTAAGATTTCATTAAAATGATATATTTTAATATGTGACCAATCGTACATAGCTAAAAAAAGATTGGTGATGACTCTATTATTTTTTATTTTATTTCCAAATTCATCAGGCGGATAGAAAATCGTTACAACAAATTAAAATTGTAGCCAAGCTGCCACGTTAAGCCATGTATTCGAGCCAAACTGATCAAACCATTGATTGTGGATTTAAGTCGGTTGATCGAACCGTTTGAGCCACTCCTTTAAACCTTTGACTAGAGTTGATTAGGGGCATTTTAAGTATTTTCGTCATAACTTTTTATTTTTTATTTTTTTTGCTCAATTTTTTAGATATTTCTATTATTTAATTTTTGATTTTTTTGGTATTTTTATTTTATTTTTGCATAAACTTTTGATAGAAAAATAAAATAAATAGTAGAAAATATAAAATATTTTTAATCGAAGTTAATTTAAAATAATTGCTAAAAAATAAATTTAGAAAAATTTAAAATTTTATTTTTCTCTGAAATAATATAAAATAATATGAAATAATGAAAATAAAATTTTAATGACCAAGAATAAAAAATATATAAAAAAAGACAAAAAAATAATAAATAAAATAATAAAATAACAAGAAAGTCACAAGTGATAATTTTATTAAAAATATTTACATAAAAAAAAACTTTCTAAAACATTCTAAAAGTGTTAGAAATATTTTAGAATTTTTTAAGAAAAAAATAATAAAAAACATTATTAATAAAAATGAAATTATGAGTGGTGATTTTTTTTTCATACAAAGAAAAATTCTAAAATATTTCAAAAGTGCTGAAAGTAATTCACAATTTTTTATAAAAATAATAATGACAACCATATTCACTACAAATAAATAGAAATAAATAAATAAATGCATAAAGAAAGGAATAATAAATATAGTAATAAAATCACAAGTGATGATTCTTAAAAAAGTATTTTTTAAAAATTTACCGAAAAGTGTTAGTAAGATTTTTGAAAATCTTTTCAATGAAAATTAATAAATATAAAATATTTAAATTATCAAAATAAATAAAATTTTACAAAAATAAAAGTCATGAATGGTGACTTTATCAAAATTTCTTAGACAATATATTTTTTTCAAAATAGTTCGAAAGTGTTAAAAATATTTTGAGAATTTAACCAATAAAAATTTTATCTTAATAATAAAATAAACAATAAATAAATATTACAAAGTAAATTAAAAATTTCATTGATAATAAAATTAAGAGGAAATCACAAGTGGTGATTTTTACTCCAGTTCTTTAAAATCATGTCATAAGTATCAGTATAAGAAAATTATAATCTACTAAAATAAATCTAATAACGAAATCTCTTCAATAAAATAAGTTATTTCTTTAAATACTTTTAAGATAAGAAAAATTTTAAATTATATGGAAAGTATTGGAAAAACTTAAAAAATTTTCAATATTTGAACAATAATAATAAAAATAAATAAAAGACTATTCAAACAAGATTGCTCTAGGATCATATAACATTAAATGGTATTATTTTTCGATTGACATTGTGAGAGTATTATAACATTTCTCATATGTAATCGTACTTTTAAATTTAATCTCAACTTTATAAATAAAATATAAAATTGATAATAAATCATACTTTAACAAAGAATATTAATGATGATTTTTGACTTTTCACATCTAACGATTAAATCCTCAAATTGAGACGTTATAACAATAAATTAAAAATAATTAATTGAATATTATAATTAGCGCTTATAATTAAACATTTCCTACATAAGCAACAACAACTACATAATTTTAATCAACTAAAAATTTATCATATTTACAAGAACTCTATATGAATATAGAGTATCAATCATTGGATTAAGAAATATAAGTTGCTAAATCGAGAATCAGTTATATATTTGCTGATTTGACAAGTTCCCGCAACCTCACCAACTAATATGCCATGGTTGACGTGGTGTCAGTACATTTCTTTGGGCTTCCATATTTATTAATTTCCACTTTGGAATTTTAAAATTTTCAGCCACGGTAAACCAATATTAATTTATTAGAAATTTCTCTGTGCATTCTGCCGAGCAAATTTTTTTATTTGATTTTTTTTTATTTTAAAAATATGTTTTTTACATTCTTATCTTGCTATACACTAACATTACGTATTAGTAAATCATATAAATTATAAATATTTTATTTTCTATTCACGTTAGATCTTACTTTCATATATAGTTTATTGAATGAACTGTCAGGAAAAAGAATATAGTTAACATTCAAGCATTTTATCTCCTTATTAAAGTATAGTTTTACTCTTTTTTGTGCTTAAGAGGTTAAAAGAGTTTTTTGGAGATTATGAGTTGAGAAATGGTAGCCACTAACATCCCAAAACCTTTGTTTAATGTACTTAAAATTTAATTTAATTAATTTATATAATAATTTTTGAAAAAAAATTTAATAAATTTAAATTTTAAATTTTAATATCTATAATTTCTTTTATTCTGATCGCGATGGCATTTGTAAGAAACCATTCTTTAATATATTTAAATATTAAAAGTAAATAAACTTATTATATGAAATATAGAATATTATCTTATAGTAAGTATATATAAAATATAGATAGATGCTGACGCTTTTTTTTCCTTTTTTTGTACTTCAATAATTGAAGAGTTGTTTAATTAAAAGAAGGCCATAGTTGTTAGGCTGGTTGATCCAAGGTCTCTTTTCTCACTCTTATTTAGTATAAATTGAAGAAGAAATAGAGAGGTTCAACCTTGTGATGTTATAATTTTTGTTTTGGGTTTCTAAAAACTGTGTAATTTTTTTTTGTTATGGCTGCAGCTGATTTCTGGTTATCAGATGAAATGCTGGTGGCTTTGATGCCGGTTGTTGTATATTGGGTTTATGCAGGGATGTACACGGCTTTAGGGTCGTGGGGTGACAATTATAGATTGCACTCCAAGAAAGACGAGGATGAGATGAATTTGGTGTCCAAAGTGACCGTCGTCAAAGGTGTCCTTTTGCAACAATTCCTCCAAGTCCTCGCGGTCCTCCTTTTGTTTCTCGTACGAGGCAGTCATCGAAGGGTTTCTTCTCCTTCTTAAACTTTGTTCCTCAATTTGATATTCTTGACTTGTTTCTATGTCTCATTAGTAAGTTTTGGGGTTAAAACAATAAGTTTCTTATTTTCTTTTCACAAAAATAAGCAAGATAAAATAATATTACGAATTGTCATGTTGTTTAATAAAATAATAAAATTTTTAATTTTTAATTTTAGTGATCAAACTTTAATATAAAATATTAAAAAAAAAAAACTTTACCAACGCATACGCCATTTGGACTAATACTCAACTAGCACCATTAAATGTTAATTATAAAGTTTACCTTTCATTCTAACCACTTAAAGATTCCACTCATTATAATAAAAAAAATAGAAATTCTTAATTAAATAAATTTTCGTTTTATAATAATTTATGCAATGGGATTTTTTTAATTATTGGTTTTTGTTTTCATAGTGGATTTAGTTTAGCATTTGGCAACAGTGTAGCATATTCGGATTTCTTGAACATTATCCCTAGAGAATCTTGTGTTGTGGTTGTTGCATCTTGCACCTCTTATCCCTTTATCTTTGCGCCGTCAGTTGCAGAATTGGTGGCCTCTTTCAAGAATTTTAATTTTGCATAAGCAGAAAGATTGATATTTTTAAATAAAATATGAGAATTTCAGTTCTTCAAGAGCCTTATTAATTAGCTTTTGGTCAGAGTTAAATACAGTTGATAAAATGATAACATTTTAATAAATGTATATCTTCACCAGGGCAGAACCTTAGATTTCAAAATCTTTTTTATATTCGTTGATAGAAATTGAACTGTGTTCACTAAAATTAAAATTTCAATATTTTATTAATAGATTAGGCGACTATAATCTTGTTTATTTGAAACTTTGCATTTGGAGCAGGTGACGGAAGGAAACGGTGATGGGTTTTCTGCAGAGCAACCATCTTCCTGGATTGATATAGCTAGACAAGTTATAATAGCAATGCTGGTTATGGACACTTACCACTATTTTTTTCACAGATTCGTATTACACAACAAATTCTTATACAGGTACATCCATTCTCATCATCACCGGCTCGTTGTTCCCTATCCATTTGGTGCTATCTATAGTCATCCGCTAGAAGCGTTTCTTGCTGACACAATATCTGGCTCCTTATCCTTGGTCTTCTCCGGCATGTCTGCTCGAACTTCAATCTTTTTCTTCTCTTTTGCCGCCATAAAAAACGTGGATGACCATTGCGGATTATTGCTTCCTGGAAACCCCTTTCATATATTTTTTAGAAACAATACTGTCTACCATGATCTTCACCATCAGCTACATGGAACCAAATACAACTTCTCGCAACCATTTTTCGTCATGTGGGATAAAATTTTGGGAACCCATATGCCTTATTCACTTGAGAAGAGAGCAGAAGGGGGTTTCGAAGTACGTCTTACTAAAGACTACAAGGAGGATTAGTTAATTTCTACTGCTATTATTTAGCTGATCCATGCCATGCATTGTGTGCACTCTGTGTTTTTACATGCTTCGTATATATAATGAGAATAAATGTTGATCTTATGTAAAAATTTATATTAATGTACGTATTTCAAAGCATATATATAGAGAAAAATATAAAATTCACTTGGGTGCATGAGATAGAGCTGATTTCTTCTATACATGCTTAATTTGATAAATCACTGTTCTTGTATAAGTATTTTATTATCCATGAAATTGCTTTCTTGGCTAAGCCAAAACAAAATAATTTATATATCTAATAAAGATCTACCAAATTTATATCTTAATGTGTAACCATAAAAAAAAATTATGAATTTTGAGCACAACCATGATGTTATATATGCCCAATAATTAATTATTGTTGTCAGATATAATAATTTAAAATGTATCCAAGTATTTTACATAATAAATGATAATTTGATATGCATAGTTTTATAAAAATATATATAATAACTTCTACAGTACTTCTTATTCATTCAATTATTATCTTGGTCCCTAAAGCACTTAGAACTCATTAATGCAAAATACGGTACATTATTTCATCTTTATAAATATTAACTAAATATGGTTGAAATTTGACATGCGTTCATCTGCTCAAAGAATGGATTCAGGTACCTCCTTCCTCAAGTAAAGACAAAAGATTTGTAAAATTAAGACATGAATTTCTCTTTTTGGCCAAATTATAAATGCCTTACCAAATTAATCCAATAGAAAGAACATATATGCTACAGAAATTAGAAGTAGAACATGTCAATCTCACAAAGATTTAATCCACCTAAGTTATGTCTGATATATTAGCTATAATCTTTTCTTACAATCAATTTCACTGGGGTTCAATGCTAGAAGTTTCCATACATCTACATCATTGACAAATAAGGGACCACCTTGAAGATAAACCAATTATCATAAGAGTACAAACACACTACTGCTTTTGATGAAAATATGGAATATTGAAATGATCAATTTGTGAGGAGGGAAGCCACCAGTGTTCTTGTTCACCTGTACTATATTGGCTTATATGCACCATGTGTCACTCATAGGTGAGCCTATAGTCAATTTTAGATTATGTTTATATTAAAATTGAAGTACAGCTATCTCTTTTTTTCTTCTTATTTGTAGTAATTGAATCAATCTCGGCTGTGCAGGTAAGAGGCAATGATGTTGGAGCTTTCAATCAGTTTTGGCAACAATAATGGACTTGGCAATAATATACGAGTAAAAATTTCCAGTTTCCGGCCACCACAAGTTCTTGAAAGAAATAGTACTTTCATTCATTCTCAGCCTCATACTCACATGTTTGCTTTTATATTCCGTACGCAATTGGAGCTATCTGCAATTATCAACCACTGAATATTGTTTGGCCGTGGACAGGACATCGCCTTTTGCCCCATTTCAACGTGTGCCTTCATCATAGCTAGTCGGTGCCCCACAAGTATAAGGACACCACATATAATTATGTCTCCTCTGCAACGTCCAATATAATTTTTTTGCCACCATCAAAATCAGAAATTAAATGACCAAAAACTGTGGGCAATCGGCTTCCTCCAAACCTCTTCCACATATTCTTTAGCAACAATTCTGCATATATCACCATGTCCACCATATTATTTATGTGGTGGCAAATCACAAGCTTCTCAGGACCAATTCTTTGTCGTGTGGGATAGAATTGTGGGAGCATATATGTTTCATTCACTTGAAAAAAGAGTCCAGAAAAGGGGGTTTAAAGCACTGCTACAAAGGTTATTAATTCGTCTGGGAGCTCTCTTTTCCCTCAACAATGAGCCTCACATTGCTTGCGCATGTGATTTATATATGTCCTATATGTGGGAGAGTGAATTTAGATTTTGAAATATTTGTCATTTTTTTCAAAGCCAAAATAAAATATATTGAAAAAGTAATAAAAAAGTACAAAAACCCAACCCCAAAAAGGTTAGACAACATTTAAATTGACAAAATTTAGCACCCAAACATTTGACATAATGGTTGGTACATCATGCCATTCAGAATTCCTCATTTTTCCAACTCAAGAATATTAAGAAATCAATGTTATAGGATAGATTAATTTAGAATTCACTTCTACATGAATCCACACAGACATATGGAGGGATGGAGTTTCATTAACATATATAGCAAAATTGCTATGTAACATCTTTTGGTAGCAAGTGGGTTTCGCTCAATATATATATTTTTTTGAGCCGATTCAAATAAAATTATTTATATTAGATTTAATGAATTTATGAAAAATTATTTTTCTACAACTTCCTAATAAATTCAAACTCAAATAATAAAAAAATATATATTTTTTTATCATTTGAACCAATTATCTGTTGATAATTTTACACTTTAATTATCATTATTTTAACAAATTATCAGTTGAATTTAACAACATAATCATACATTTTTTGTGTATGTAAATTTTCAAGTGAATATTGTGTCACATTTTTTAACATGTTTTTTTTAACTCCAATTTTCATGATTTTATATGTTTTATATTAAATTTATTGATCATCAAAGTTATGAAATTTTTTTTAAGTTTGAACATAAATACCTTAGAACTAATTTTTTTTTTTTTAATTTTTACATCAAATAGAAGTATGAATAATAATTTTAGGACAGAAAAATATATGTAATCTTTTGTTTGAACGAAGAAAATAAATAATTCGAATGTTGATCTTTCGTACATGAAATAGAAGTATGAGTATTGTTTTCGTCCACATGGAAGGGGTGAAATAATGAAAATTCGATATTATTATATGAGGGACAACTTTGGCACAGGGTATCGACATTGATTTTTCGGTTGCTTTCTACATTTGGCCAGAAGCCATTAATGAATTCAGCAATTATTTGCGCACAGTCCGTGCAATTCTTACACATCACACATGGTTCCCGTTCCTTTGGATTTGTTTGCATTTTGCATTGCTTTTCTAAGGTGAATGTCGCTTTTTTATTTTTATTAAAAGAAAGAAAGAAAGATTTGAATTTAATTTTAAAAAGTTTTAACCCGTAACATTAACAATAGACATTATAAATATTAAATATTAAATTTAATAATATTATGTTTTAAAAATAATTTTATAAATGAACTAAATTCAATATTAAGTTTTAACTTTTATATATATAATTTTGAATTACATAGCATGACATAATCATTTTTCATCCTAAAATTTTACCCTTTTGTTCAGGACAATTTTTTATTTGATTTAGACACAGCACCGGACCCCAAAATGTCGTTTGCTCTAACATTTTTCCAATAATTCAAGGTCGAATGCCCCAAATAAAAATAGTGGTCCAGACACAAATTTTAGCGAAACTTCAATATTGGCCAAAATGTTCATTACAATTTACACCCCGGCAATTTTTTAATAGCTTCGTGGACCCTTTAGTAATTGTTATAAGTTATTTATTGAAGAGGGGCAGATTCAAATTTTCCATTGCTTGGGTTTGGAGTTCTAAAATTTTGTGGAGTGTGCTATGGCTTTCGAGATAACAAATGACATGCTTGTGGGCAGTTTAATGCCAGTCGTTGTGTATTGGGTTTATGGAGGATTTTACACGATTTTAGGGTACACTTGTAACAATTATAGGTTGCATCCGAAGGCAGACGAGGATGAGAAGAATTTTGCGTCCAAAGAGACTGTCATCAAAGGCGTCCTTTGGCAACAGTTCCGTCAGTTCATCGTGACGAACCTATTGTATATGGTATGAGTAGCCAAGTTTTTTCTTTACTCGATCAAGGCCAGACGTAATATTAACTCAACAGTTGTTGTGTATAGAATTACGTTAAAAACAACTAATTAATGCATTAAAAATAAAAATAAAGAAATGATCGAATCAGGTACGACAAATATGTTTTAGGTTTATGAATATTTTATCGTAATGACATTTTGTTTAACATTGGGTTATTAAAATGGTTATATGGTGATGATGTTTACGATTATTTGCATAAGCAATTGGTATTCCTGGATAAAATTTGAACTATTCATTTTCGTAATGTTTTCGGACTGATTGCATTATGCCATTACACATAAGCTTCAAGCTTGGTTTTGTTTGCAGTTGCTTTTACCCAATTTACGTGGATTGATTATGATGTAATCTGTATTGTTCGTGCAGATGACAAAAGGAAATGATACCGGAGCTTCTTCAGGGCAGTCAACTTCCCTTATTGTTATAGCTAGACAATTTGCTGTAGCTATGTTCGTTTTCGATACTTACCAATATTTTCTTCACAGATACCTACACCAGAACAAGTTTTTATACAAGCACCTCCATTCCAAGCACCATCGTCTGGTTGTTTCCTACCCCTTTGGTGCTATCTACAGTCATCCAATAGAGGGGTTTCTCTTCGACATCCTAGGCGGTTCGTTAGCTATTTATCTCTCTGGCATGTCTCCTCGAACTTCTGCCTTTTTCTCCTCTTTCGCCAACATGAAATCAGTGGATGACCATTGCGGATTATTGCTCCCCGGCAACCCCTTTCACATCTTCTTTACAAACAACACTGCGTATCATGATCTCCACCATCAACTTTACGGTGGCAAATACAACTTCTCGCAACCGTTCTTCTCCATTTGGGACAAAATTTTGGGAACGTATATGCCTTATTCACTTGAGAAAAGAGAAGAAGGAGGCTTCCATTTGCGGCCTGTTAAAGAGTGCAAGGATTGAGTAGTAATTAATTACTACTCCAACTAGTATTTAGTGCCAAATCACTGTTTGCATATCCTTTTGTTTTTAATCGTGCTAAAAGTAGCATGTACTATATTCATAGTTACATGCTTCATTCGGGAATAAGTAAGAAAAGTTTAATATTGGGGTCTGATTTGTCATAAAACTAGTAAGAATAAATTTTAATATTTTGTGTCAAAATCACTGTGTATTTGACTAAATATGTTAGACCGAACCAATATGCAATTCACTGCCTAATAAAGGTTCAACAAATTTATATCTTTGTGTTTGGCTATGAAGTTAATATTACAAGTTTTCAAACACTAATATCTATTGTTAGAAGATTAAACTTTTAATTTCAATAATGATTGGGTTTAATATTTAATAATCTCAAATATATAAAAATATATATTATTTTATTCTCTTATTATTATATTTGTTAATAATTAACCTATATATATTTATATATTCTGCAGAAAAGTTTCCCTCGATTGTTTTGGTCCCAATTGGAAGTTGTGGTTCGACAATTGGAGTGGGCTTTTATTGGCCTGTGACGACGACTGTTATGGCACCAGGGGGCATTTTGTCCTGGCTTCGGCATGTTATCTTGCTTAAATTTTAGTAGACTCCAATTTTCAAGGACTTTATATTAACAAATCCAAGGAAAACATGGTTGTTTTTTTTATTGTTTTCAAATTTCAATAAAAAATTTCAATTTTTATTATTATTTTATATATAAAGCAGGAAAACATGGTTGGGGCATTTATTGAATGATGGAACAAATCCAGGGAAAACATGATTTTTTTTTTATTGTTTTCATTTTTGAATAACAATTTTCAATATTTATTTTTTATATATAAAGCGGGAAAACATTGGGGCATTTATTGAAGGACGGGGACATGACTCCATCTTTATTTTTTTTTTGCAAGTGAGTGGGTATTCTTTAATCTTTGAAGTGATTACAGTCGCTTTCAACAGCAAACGCAATATATTTTGGACATTCCTCCACTCAATATCTAGTTTCATCACTCCCAACTGCTAGTTTTGCCAGTATATGGGCAACTTCGTTTGCTTCCCTCCTGACGTGAAGACACATTAAATCCCCCATATTCCTCAACTTCAGCTTTGCCTCTGCAATTAGATTACCTATGGTGGATAAGTCTTCGCCATCATGCTGAATCTGCTTGATTATACTCAGTGCATCTCCCTCTAGCTCCATCTTGTTGATGCCCATGTCAGTAGCAAAATCTGTAGCTTTAGCAGCTGCCAGCTCTTCGATGTGCATGGGATCGTCAACATGCATCACTGGCATTGACATTGGACCCAAGACACTCCCAGAATTGTCCCTGATGACAACCCCAATTCCACCTTCCCTACTCGTGGTCTTCACCGCGCCGCCAACTGTAAGGCGGTTGCCAGCGGGTGCTTTCCAAATCACCTTCTCATGCGCATCTTTCTAGTCTGCGTCTCTTGGGCCCTTTGATTCTCATCCAAGTAGTTTTTAGCAAACAAAGCTATGTTCTGCTGCGATCTGTCTACATGGTTCTTGACTTTATCATTTCTGCTCTTCCATATCGCCCAGCATAAAGTAAGCCACAGCTCAAATTCGTTGCTCTCCAGGCTTCCCATGATTGAGCTGATCGAAGCTGCTGTATTCAGATATGTACCATTCAGCCCTGCATTTTCCATGTTTGCAGTCTTCCACACCTCTGCTACTAATGGACTGTCTTTTGTCGCATGCAATATAGATTCCTCATGTTGGTTGCACCTTGGGCAGTATGCATCATCCATAATCTTCCTTTTCCTCAGATTCCCATAGACTAGCAACAGTTCATGAATGAGCCTCCAACCGAAAATTTTCACTTTACTTGGTGTTCGAGCCTTCCATATTTTACACCAAATTTCCTTGTTGCTCATTCGTTCCTCGTCCTCGATTGCCTCTTGAACATCCTCGTTGGCCCGCTCCTTATTACATAACAGTTGATACCCGCTTTTGGCACTACAGTAGCCATCCTTTGTGAAATGCCATACCTTCACATCTGGGTAATCATTCCTGCTGATCGGGATTGCTTTGATTGCCCTTGCTGTTTGGGTAGAGAAAAGCGCATCCACTTTCTCTTCATCCCATCTGTGAGCATTCCAGTCTTTTAAGTCGTGAACCACATCATTGGTTTCAACAAATCCCTCACGTGGTATTGGTTTGAAGCCCTTAATATTTGGAACCGACCTATCAGTCCATGTGTTAATAGCGAGGCCGTTTCTTACCCTCCATCTGATTCCATTTTGGAGTACCTCTCTTCCCGAGCATATACTCCTCCATGAATATGATGGTAGTTTTCCCCGTTCAACTTCCATGAATGACGTACTAGGAAAATATTTTGCTTTGAAGACTTTGTATACCAGTGATGCTGTATTGTGCATGAGTCTCTAGCCCTGTTTTGCAATCAGTGCTTTGTTGAACAATTCAAAATCTTGGAAACCCATTCCACCCTCCAGCTCGTTTGTGCACATGTCTTTCCACCGCAGCCAGTTCATGTATACCTCTACTTGTTTCTCCCTGTTATCATTGGCTGGCCTAAATATTTCTCTGGACTGCTTGTCACCCTGATTCCAAATAGCTATTTGACCATCTCCACTCTGTCAACTCTAGTGTTTCGGCTGAAAAACAAACCGGATTTGTCGTAGTTGATTTTCTATCCCGAACCTTCCTCATGGATCTTTAGCAAGTGTTTCACTCTTTCGCATTCCCTCTGATTTGCCTTTATGAATAGCAAACTATCGTCTGCGAAAAAGAAGTGAATGATCTTTGGGCCATTCACATTAGCTTTAACACCTTCTAACCTTCCTTCCTGGTGATCCTTCAGTGGAAGTGCGGATAGTCCTTCTATGCATAGGATAAATAAATAAAGTGAAAGAGGGTCACCTTGTCTAAGGCCCTTTTTTGGAAAATTGGGTCAATAATTATACCATTAAGAATCAACTTGTAAGTAACAAATGATATACAATGCATGATTATGGACGCCTACTTCTCACTTAAACCTAATCTTTCAATCATGGCCTATAAAAAATTCCATTCAACTCGGTCATACGCCTTACTCATATCTAGTTTTACAGCTCCCTATCCCTCATTTCCATTTTTCTTGCGTTTCAAAGTGTGGAGAATCTCGTAGGCTATGAGAACATTATTAGTTATTAGTCTCTCTGGTGCAAATGTACTTTCATTTTCACTAATACATGAAGGAAGCATATGTTTAAGCCTATTAGCAAGAGTCTTAGAAATAATATTACTCCGATTTTCCGAATGAAAAGTATGCATAAAATTTTTATTGAGCCCAATATTTATGTATGCATCCAAGGAGTTCCTTTATAGATTTTAATAATTAAATTGATTAAATTATATATTAACAATTACTCCCTCTATCTCATTTTCTTTATCTATTTTTTTTAGATGTCTCAAAATTATATATTTTTTTGAACATCTAAAACTCTTACTTTTTTATATTTTAAAATTATTTTTTATAATTTGTTTTTTATTTCAAAAAAGTATTAATACAACTATGCGAATTATTTCAAAATTTGCCTAAATCTGTTTAAAAATTTCATCAATTTAGGTTTCAGCTTTCAATTTTTATTTGAATTAGATTTACTGTTCGTTGGTAGGTCAGTTTTCTTTTCATATGTCCAAAAACACAAACAAGCTTTTTGTATTGGCACATTAGATCTGAAAATGATAAGCCATATCATACCATCATTTTTTTTCTTTTGATGAGAATCATGCTGTTATTAATTTATCGTTATGTGATCGGAGAGAAATTTTTAAAAAAATTACCATATTATTCATGGCCGTCATGATCTCTCGAGGTCAACGTCCTTCCTCTTCTTAAATTGAAGGGAAAATTAAGGCAGCTTCATCAATAACATTATTTCATGTGCTTATCCTCTCGGTTTGGTTTCTGAAAAAGTTTGTGAAGGACGACGTAGCTTTGGAGATATAAGATGAATTGATGGGTATTTTCATGCCTATTGTTGTTTACTGGATTTATTCAGGGATATACATGGCACTGGAGTCGACCACGTCATTTGACAATTATAAATTGCATTAGAAAGAAGATGAGGATGACAAGAATCTGGTCTCCAAAACAGCAGTTATCAGAGGCGTTCTTCTTAATCAAACTCTTCAAGCTATTGGGGCCTTCCTTTTGTTTATGGTATGAATAGTGAAGGATTTTTTTTGATATAATAGTTAAATTGTTGATACTTGGTAACCTTAGAGAAAATCAGGTTAGGGAGAATTTATAAGCGTTAAAAATTAAATCTCAGCTGAAAATTCACGTCGATCATTTGAACCATATAATAAGGAAAGAACCTTCTTTATATGAGTAATAATTAAGGTTTTCTTCATTATTGGAATTTAGGACATTCTTTATCGTCTATGTAGCTTTCATTTGATGTATAGTTGTTGATATATAGTTGGTACACTTCTACTGTTGTAGGTTCTTGTTCCCTTCATTTTTTTGTGAACAATTTTTTAACAGACAAGTAGGTTGAATAACTAATTATATATAAATCAGCCGACCATAAAAACAAAATTATAAATTGGATAGAAAATATTTGTTAGGTACTTAACTAGTTGGTGGGCTTGATGGGTATAAAGAGATTAATTATTAAAAGGTAGGGTAGATATTTTAATTAATAATGTGTAATTTCAATCAACCATTTTTTTCTCTCATCTCTATTATTGTTTAAATCGAATGATATGTACTTTTAAATTTGCAGGTAGATGGGTTGATCTTTTGTATCTCAAATTGACACTTAATCCATTGTTATTAGTTCATTGGTTTGCTTAATACTTATTAAATCCTCATGTTTTGACGGACAAAAGATGACTATAAGTATACAAGCCATGTCATATTCTCTTCGAATAGTAATTATTGGAAATCCAGCTGCGTGTTTTTCTTGTCGAATTTTTTTTTATAAAAAGATTGGTTTTGCGTTGTATTTCTACCATGAATTTAGGTAAAAACCAAAAGCGAATGCAAATTATAAGGGGATATCCATGGAAATTTTTCAAAATTAGAAAATAAAATAATCTGGAGGTTATTTTTTGAACATTCTCAAAATTTTTTTATTTTTTAATATATATTGA